AATTGATGATGCAAATCACACCAGATAACGCCACACTGCCTAGATGTACGATATAAGCATTTTTTTTTATAAGAATGATATAAGTTTGTTTTTTTTGTTTAGATACTAGTTAAGAAATCGTATTACAACTAGACCAAACTTGTGCGCGTACAAATACGATAACTTAGAAGCAGTGTATCATAGATAGTGGTTGGTATTTTGTAAAAAAAAAAAAGATTAATGACTACAACATCCACAGAAAACACACGCACTATTATTACGAAAGCAGCAAGCCATGAAAAAGCTTTTTTTATTTATTTATATCACCACCTCCACACATCGCACGCATTAGTAGTACTAGTACAGACCATTAATTTAAGTACCCGGGCGCGCAGGCGGAGGGTGAGAACAACACTTGAAATGCTCCGCCGGCTGGCTGATTCCGCCGCAACACTCCCCTCTGTCCCCAGAGCCGTCGTCCTCGTAGCCATCGCAATCACGATCCACCATCACTGAATTCCCAGTCGCCGCCGTACCCTCTTGATCATCTTGCGTGGGTGGTTTCGTCGTCCGGTCAGCTGCCGGGTTCCTCCGTGCCCTCGTAACCTCATCCTCTTTCACCGACGGCGGTGATGATTTGGCTGGTTGTCCCGCTGCCATTTCTATATATAATTATTTATTGTCCCGTTTCAGTCGCACGAGGAAGGAAACTGGTCCTATTTATTTGTATATATGCAGTTTGGGATTGTCTTTTTTTTTAAACAAACAAAAATAAAATGATGGGGTTTTGACACCTGGCGCATGAGGTGGCCGGAGACTCATCGGTGTGCTGATTTGGCTTGTTCAAGGCGTGCCACGTTCACATGTGGAGCGTTCGGCTTGGAATGGAAAGTTGGAGATAGACGTGGTCTCTCGAAATTCGAATGGATCGCCAAGCCCAAGTGGGGTTTTATTTCATGGGCCGAACGTGGGCCGTGGGCGAGAGGGGATGGATGGTTGATTATCCTGCAAAACCTGAGTTAGCGGGCTTGCACAAATTAGCGGGGGAAGGAAAGGATGATTATTTTCATCGTCACCAATTCTTTATAGACAACTAAACTACTGATAATGATATCAGATCATTTCACTCGAACATGACCATGTATTCCATAAACCTTTTTCTCCCTCCATCATCGGACCTAGAGATATTGCTATTATTTCCAAGTGGAGAGACAAAAACCTATCTCGCATAAGCAGATTTTTCATAATAACCTACGTTTTTGTCTGATGTCAATCTTAGAAGCTCATATTTGTTTGAGCATTAAAAAAAATACTGCTGACATATAGAATTCATGCGACATTTTCATATAACGGCCCAATCATACATCCTCCATTTCGTTAATACAAAGTACATATGCGTGAATTTCTCGACGCCTAAGTACTTAAGTTTTACGAGCATCCACTAAATAGGCCAAAATGCCACAAACAACTCTAGCTAGCACACGCCTCGTGGTCGTCTTGTATATTTAAACCTTCTGCTTGAATATAAACCTTTTGGGTATGTCTATGATGACATGCATGTCACCGTAACTTGCATTTTTAGGTCGACCTCATATAGGATTAGGTCGACCTAATCTGCACTTTTAGGTCTACCTCATATAGGATTAGGTCGACCTAATATTTCGTTTCAATTTTATGAGGTTTCCGAATACACTAATATGCGCACCCTGATGAATTATTACGGTCGACCTTTAAAATGTAGTGGTCGACCGTTTGTAGTTTAAGTTGTCATTCTTGGTCGATCACAATAAAACATCAATCGCCCTTTTCATTGGCGTCAGAAGCAAAATGGTCGACCGTAAAGGTATATAGGTCGACCATTGATGGCGGTCAACAAAATGGTCAACCATTTACAGAAAGAGGTCGACCAGATAGAAGAGAAGTGTTGTATCCATTTATCCATCATCATTTGACGTAAAATGAAGATCAAGTGTTGGTTTCGCAGTCGACCTAATCTAGTACGAGGTCGACCGAATACAAGAAAATCAACATATGCCCTACGTCTTTTTTGTTTATGTATGTCGATGTGGGTGGTTCTTTTACTCGTACAAATTATGTTTCAAACCAACAGAATCAGTCATAAATAATGATAACAAGGATTCATAACTTCCACGTGGTCGACCTCTTGAATAACGTACAACAGCAACCTCAAAGGATCTTCTTCACAAAAGCTCTAGCCATAAAAAACCTAATTCAGAGTTTCGATGGCAGTGAAGGTGACGTATATTCGTATTTATAGATATTTAGGACGGGAATGGATCAAATTAAGTGGTAGATAAGTTAGGGTTACCTTTCTGGTGTTGGAATTCTTATCCAATACGGATACGGTGTGCACGCGGTCGACCTCGTAATTATGCGGTCGACTCGTTGAACCTCACAAAACTGGAACGACATATTAGGTCGACCTAATCATATATAAGGTCGACCTAAAAAGGCAGATTAGATCGACCTAATCCTATATAAGGTTGACCTTAAAGTGCACATTAGATCGACCTAATCCTATATGAGATCGACCTAAAAATACAAGTTACGGTAATATGCATGTCACCTTCCAAACTTTTTGTTACAATAATCTAAACCCATATCTCATAATAACCATGACAACGAATTTTTTATTCCGTCATTAGAACCAAAATTGAACCACACGATTGGAAGAGAAGGGTGAATGCATGTCCTCTTCCAACATCCAAGCGAAAAGCAAAGAAGTCGCATCTTCATCATCATTATCATATCTTATAATTGCCACCTAGCATTACAATAACTCCCCTGTAGTTTTGTGCGCTGATAGGGAGAAGGAAGGGATGGGATGGGTCATGGGTCGGTCCAAAGATAAACAGACAAGAGGGAGGGCCGAGCCACAATGAAAACTCCAACAATTTCCATTCCCATGAATAACAAGGTAAATGAGGGGAGAGCAGACACTCCAATGACCTGACATCACTTATTATTAGGAGCTATTCCTCAACATGAAATGCTGTTGTCAAACACCGATACTCCCCTTGGTATAATCAGGTTCAATAGGTATATTTGATAAAAATTAGTTGGGAGGATCACCGGTATGAAACGTAGTAAATACTAAATATTGGAGGGAAAATTATAAAAAATAAAAAAAGTAATCGACCTGAACGTTAAATTTGTCATTTTGTCATTTTGTTTGTAATGTGTTATTTTGTTTGAATATGATGACAATTATAAATAGATTGTGTTAAAATAGATTATATAAATGCAAAATTTATTTGGTGTTAATGATTTCTCATCTCCTCATATTTTTGTTGAACCGATAAAAATCGACGAATAAATCATTCTCTTCGATTGAACCATATTACTTGTTAATTGACATATCAATACAAACCAATTTGACACCTTCTCTCACTACCAAATACCGAATCCCGAATACCAATTACACCTAGGGATGACAAAAATATCTGTAACCGTGGATATCCGCCCGAATCCGACCTAATCGGGTAGGGTAAAACCCGAACCCGAATATTGCGGGTAATGGGTGGCCATGGTTTTCTCACTATCCAACCCGAACCCGACCGATTATACACATGTATATGTATTTTGTCTAGAAATAATCAATATTTTTCTCTAACATATTTTATATTTAGCATATAAATATAATAGTTTTATGAAATTGTGTTGTTTTAATTAATTATCTTCGTTCTAGTGAATTATTGTCGTACTTTTCGTCTTACGTAACGTGAGAATACATGTGAATATTAACATATTGGTTGGAGTTATAAAAAGAAACTATTACCCATGGATAACCGTGGATACCCGAAACCCGAACGGGTATGTGCATGGTTTGGATTTTCTACCCATTTCTTATGTGGGTATGAGTATGGGTAAAACCCGAACTACTCTGGGTAGGGTAGCGGATATGCACTATCCGTCCCCGACCCGACCCATTGCCATCTCTAATTACACCCTAAAATCAATATCAATCTCTAAATAATTTCGGATCCCAATCTCAATCCTTAAATATATCGGTATCCCAATCGACATTATTGAATACGAAATTAATTACCTTTGCAGTTAATAATTACATATATAAATTAGATTTAAGTGTTCAATTTAGTGCAAATAGACTAAATAAAGAGTCTCGAGTTTGCCTAGAGCTATGATATGGATAAGGAGATCGAATGAAGGAGAGGTGACATCTCAAGTTCTTGTCATTGGTAATCTTTAATTTGACGAATTGGAGGATGAGAGGCGACTAATACTAGTGTTTGCGTTTTGGTGTCATGAAAATAACAAGAGATTAGATGAGAGACGAAAGTAACTTAAATTGGAAAGTCAAATTTGAGTTGGACGAGAACTTCTAAGTTGTGAAATAGTGATGAAATTATCCATATATATAATTAAATGACACTCTTGGTGGTTGCGGGTCGTATAGTAGTGAATAAGAGAGTTTAGCTAAAAGGATAAAATACACACTAATTTATATTTCGGTATTGATTGGTATTTCGGTATCTATCGATCTCAATCTCGTAATCACTAATACCGAATAACAATTAAAATTCAATCGTAATCTCAATCTAAAAAATGATACGTGTATTCGATAATATCAAATATAAACAAATTCGATAGAATATAAATCCAAATACGGGTATCATCGTCTCATGTTTTTCTTCCTTCTCAACAGTTTTTCTATTTCCTACCTAGTCGTCTATTTGTCACTGTCATTATTGGACCAGGAATTGTCGTCTTGGGGCGAGAGGGTCGGGTCGGTTCTCTCAACCCATCCACCTCTTTGAAAAGGCAAACATTTCAGTGCTGACCTGGCAAATGGCCACCTCTCTCTCCTTCTCTAAAGTCTAAACAGAATAGAAAAAGGAAAAGATCAAAAGAAAACAAAGTCTGCTTGTTGTGCCTACCAATCACGGCAATCCACCTCCCCATTTCTATTTTTCAAACTGCCCGAACTGCTCCTTATTACAGCATACGACCTGGGCAATTTTTTTATTTTATAAAAAAAGGAAAAAGCAGAAGCGTGCTTCGCTCTCTTTCGCTCTCGTCGCCCCATTTTCAGACTTCCTCTCCGCCGGGCGTCCCGCCCCCTTGTCGTCGTCTCTCTCGTCACTGCTCCTTTCCCGTCCAGCACTGATCGACTACTATACACGGTTGCCTGCCTTTGCCTTTGCCTTTTCGTTCATACAATAATAGAGGGGAAAAAGAAAGAAAATTGCGCCTCAACCAAACCCTCCCCTTTTCCTTCCACATTTCAAACACTCTCTGTCCTTCTCCCTCTCTCCTTCGCCATAATAATTTTGTTCTTTACACTGCAATAGTTGCCGCCTCGACACCCAAAAGGAAAGAAATATTTCCCCTTTTTTTCTAATTTGGATTCCGGACCCCAGAGTTTCCTTTTGCCCCGAAAGTTCCTGCATTTTCTTCTTCCGCGAGGGAGGGATCAAGTAAAGCCATCGGAATTTTTTTTGTTTGCTTGGTGGGTTTTGCTGGCCGCGTCGAGAGATCAAAAGGGTTTTTGGCGGTTTCCGTCGACGAGGTTTCTGGACTAGGGAGGCGGACGATTTGAGAGTCGCGCTTCGGCCGGGTTGTTTTTGTTCTGGAGTTGTTGGAAATACCACGTTCGAGATTGTTTTGACCTTTTCTTCTCGCCGCAGAGGGCTTGATTAGGGTTCTCTTGGCCGACCAGGTGCTTTGATTCTCCTCTTCTTCTGTTTAGCTTCTCGTTTTTGTTCCAGTTTCAAGTTTTCTTATTACCCATTCGTGCTCTTGCCCGGTATTGATTGTTTTGTTTGTCCTTGTGGTGTTTTGACCTTTTACCAAGTTCAAAATTTTTCAAGCGCGGATTATTTTAAAGGTTGTCGATTAATGATTTATATGATGTGGTGGAGTTGGATTTTCCCCTGTGTTTCTGTACCTGATTTTGGTTCTGAAGTCCTGGGTTAGTTATGAGATTGTTTGCATGGGAAAGAAGCAGAAAAACAATTGGCTTATAGGAGAGTGCGAAATGAAGTATCAGAGTTTGGTGCTCAAGCTTTTTGCTGTTATTTTGGCTCTTGTACTATCCGTATTGAGTTTAAGCTGGTATAGACGAGCTGGTTGAAAATTATGGAAGGCTTGGAAGGGTGAGCACAAAAAAGATTGGAAGAGCTGGTTACTCTTCCTAGTCTCTTGTTCCGGCTGAGTTCTAATGTGGACATGTGGTGGAGTAGTTATCAAGGTTGGGATGTTTGTTGAACCGGTTTGGTATTGTTTATTGGTAGTCAGTATGCAGAAACAGTTTAGGTGATAGCTTTGGGTCCTCGCCTGGTTTGCACATAGGTCTACGTTGCTGGTAATCATTTATTCTTGTTGAAAAGTGGGACTGAATCGAGATGTCAAATTGCTTGATGGTAGAAGAGCACATCTCTTCTAGTGAGGTGATTGCCAATGGAGACAGTTGCAATTGGAGATTTCTGTCGGGTCTTTTATTTTGTTATGTAATTGGTTTATTCTGGTGTGTCCTTTAAACAACCAGAAGCTTTACAAGTATGCAGCAATCAGGAAAAAAGTTTATGGAGCCTGCAAGGCACAAATACTGCCATTGATGCCTCTGGAAACTTTGGCATGTCAATTTGCCTGCTTGGTTATAGACTGAATTTTTGACGTTCTTCTTCTGATTGCTTTATCTAATATCAGATAAGACATCAACTCCTTCAATTCTAGTTTATATTGACGTGCACTGAACTGAAGTCCGAATGTATTGTGTTCATGTGTTGAGAATGGTTGGTCTTCGGAGGCATGTTTATTGTTTTTGTTTGCCTAAGCTTTTCCATTATATGTTCCTTGAGTTTGACTATGTTATCCTGCTTGTTTCGACCAGGTTGTTTTTTGTCAACAAAATAGATATAACAAAAGAGGGAAAAGGAACAACATCTATGGTTGCAAAGGAACAGCATGGGGTTACCACCTACTCCCCTAAAGCGGTGGTGGGTGAAATTGACACGAGGGCGCCCTTTCAATCTGTCAAAGATGCTGTCACCCTATTCGGGGAGGGTGCTTTCTCCGGAGAAAAGCCAGCCATAAAGAAGCCAAAGCCACATTCTGCAGAGGTATCCATGGTTGATAATTGGTTATTTGTTTACCATTTGTAAATTTCGTTCATTGCTGAGTGGGATTGAATTAGATGGTTGCCGTGAGGATTCTCTGATGTGTTATTACTTGTAAAACATTAGTCTAAAACATGGCAAACTGGACGGGAGTTGTTTGTCATTTTCTGTGTTTTATGATTCATCTTGAAATTAATAACCGCCCAAAGCTAGGATCCACTTTGACTTCTTGAGTGATTATCTAGAAATGTGGATATTGATAACCAAGTTAAACCCTTAGATTTTGTATCTTACCTTACTGCAGCGAGTTTATGCAAAGGATACACAGCTTCACGTAGCCCAGAAGGAGTTGAACAAGTTAAAGGATCGGCTAAACAGTGCTGAAACAACCAAGGCTCAAGCATTAACTGAGCTTGAAAGAGCTAGAAGAACAGTTGATGATCTGACCCAAAAACTCAAAACTGTCAACGAAGCAAAAGAGTTGGCACTAAGAGCCACAGAGACTGCCAAAAATAAAGTGAAGCAAATTGAAGAAGCAAATAGTAGTGGTGACCAGCCAACTGATGCTGCTAGGCTGCAGGATTTAGAGGCTGCAAGGGAACAGTATTTAACTGTATTTTCAGAGCTCGATGTTGCGAAGCAAGAACTAAGGAAACTACGGCAGCAGTGTGATGCATCCTTGGAGGCAAAGGTTGCTGCTATTAAACAAACTGCTGAAGCCCAACATTCAGCCAAAGTAAACGTTGAAAAAGTTAGTGAACTCTCTAACGAGATCTCATCAATGCAAGAATCGATTGGGCAAGTCAAGCTTGCATCTCTTCAGTCCCATGAAGAACAGACCAAAATATTTTCTGAAAAGGACCTTCAGAAGCAGTCATACAAGGCTACCCTGGAAGAGTCTACGAACAAGCTTATTGCATTGAAGAATGGCTTCGATCCAGAACTTGCACAGAATCTCGAAAAGCAACTGACAGAAACAATGAATGAGATAAGTACTTTGAGAGTGCAGATGGACCGTGCAAAGGCTTCAGATTTGGATTCTGTTAAAAGCGTCACTTCAGAGTTAGATGGTGCTAAGGAGTCACTGCAGAAAGTAGTGGAAGAAGAAAGCTCTTTGAGAAGTTTAGTTGAATCGCAAAAGCTTGAGCTGGAGATTGTGAAGAAGGAACATCTGGAACTCAAGGAGAAAGAGGCTGAAACAGAATCTATTGCTGGAAACTTGCATGTCAAGCTACGGAAATGTAAGTTGGAGCTTGAAGCAGCCATTGCAGAGGAGTCCAAGGCAAGAGGTGCTTCTGAAGAAATGATCACAAGTCTCCACCAATTATCAATGGAATCTGTGAATGCACATCGTGAAGCTGAAGAGATGAAGAACAAAGCTGAGGAGTTGAAGCAGGAAGCTGAAGCAACAGAGGTTGAACTAGAAGAAGCCGACAAGAAGCTGAAAATTGCCCTGGAAGAAGCTGAAGAAGCCAAGACAGCAGAGGTAAGGGCTCTTGATCAGATCAAGGCACTTTCAGAGAGAACCAATGCTGCACGTGCGTCGACATCCGAGTCAGGTGCCAATATCACACTCTCGAGGGATGAGTTCGAGGCTTTGAGACGAAAGGTGAAGGAGTCGGACGAATTGGCTGAAATGAAAGTGGCAGCAGCTGTGGCTCAAGTGGAGGCTGTTAAGGCTAGCGAGAATGAAGCACTGAAAAGAGTAGAGGCAATGCAGAAAGAGATTGCGGATATGAATGCTGCAACCCAGGAGGCATTGAAGAAGGCTGAGATGGCTGAAGCAGCTAAAAGGGCAGTGGAGGGAGAGCTAAGAAGGTGGCGGGAAAGGGATCAGAAGAAGGCGGCCGAAACTGCTTCTCGTATTCTGGCAGAAACACAGGTGGCTTCTGAAGCAGCATCCCCTTTTCATCACAGGATGCCACCAAAACCCGTCATGCAGAAGCAGAACACATTGCCACCACAAAAGTTGATGGAGGTCCGGAAGTTGGAAAAGGGCAAGACATCTGTATCGAAGAAGGTAATGGCGTCCAATCTCAGTGGGATCTTCCATAGGAAAAAGAACCAAATTGAAGGTGGGTCTCCTTCTTACTTGCCTGGTGAGAAGCCCGTATGAGATTTCCAGCGCTATGGTAGACCTTTTCTGTGACTATGGATTGGATGAGACATGTCAATGTGTGTTTTTTTGTTTGTGTGGGGGGTGTACATTCTACAAGTGCAGTAGGATTCAGGGCGGTCTTGGGGGAAGGAAGAACAGATGAAAACATGGGTTTTTGCTGTATATTTCCCTTTTGTTAGATTTATTATGATTGGAAATCCATGTTTTTATGGTATCAGGCTCTACTCTCATAATTTTGTTATTCTTTTAGTATTTTGTTCTACCACTACCACAAAGCCATTCCATAAAAATAACCAAACGAAGCTTAAAAATGTGCTCGTGGCAATGGCGGCTAAATCGCAGGCTGGTGTAGCTTATTCTGAAGCTTATATATGGTTTTGAGTGTTTTTTTCAGTCACTTTATATTTAGGAAACAGTTGTCTATTGCGTAACAAAAGTGACTCAGGTAAGTTGATTAGTATTTTTTTTTGTATACCAAAGATAGATTTTTTTTTAATTTTTGAGTGATATTAAGAGAGAACAAGAGTTATACAAACAAAACTATTCATGAATCCCCTACAAGTAAAACCCTAGTGAATCCACCCAAAAAAATCGAAAGACTAATTCTAGGAGAGACAATAGTAGTGCTTTAAGCGCCACTTTATGAGCAGCACTGTTGGCGGCTTAAGAACCGCCCTAAACTCTATACAAAATGACAAAGAGTCTAGGATCTAACGACACTCCCGGGACACCGGACCTCCAAAGGAATCTTCTAGGACACCTTGCCAGATCTGGTTGACGACCACCTCGGAATCACCGTCTACTATTAAATGATGGTGATATCATCTCTAACTGCTGGTAGCTCTGACAGGTAGGGGTTGACTACTCACTTGGTGATGCAAGATGGTTGTCAACTCTTTTATCAAAGATAACTTGCATTACCAAGAATAACAAAGATACAACAAAAAACAATATGGTCATAGAAATCTAAACCCACTTTCTCCCAACATTTTTTAATAAAAAAGAGCTTGGAAACCATCCTTCCCTGGTGCTTTTAATCTGTTCTTTGATCTCGCAGGGATTCAACCCCCCCCCCCCCCCGGCGCCTTATATTAAATCCCGGCTAGGGTGTTGTCAAGCCCTCTTTCCCACACACAAAAAAAAAAGAACAGAAATTTGGCAAAAGAATCCAAAATAGTCGTTCTTAGTTCTTACGCTTCCGGGGGTCTCCTTCTCTACAGTGAGGGAGACAAAGCCAAAGATTCCCAAAGTGACAACAATGATAGTAACAAGTCCTTAGCAAGAACAAGGAAGAATGCGCGACTCTCTTCTCTTCTAGTTTCTCCCACGACTGCTGAACGGGTGGATCCAGTCCTTGATCGAGATTCAAAGCTAGTTGCATTAGTAGGTGAGTTCATACCAGAAACCGGAGCACTTTTGAAGGTGCTCTGAGGCAAAAGTGGGCGCTATTTCGTTCCGCTTTAGTCTCCTCTTATACTAAGAAAACCCTTTTCCCGGGCCTTGGAAGGAACAAAGAGAAGGTACAAGAACCGGACAAGAAAAGTTTCGCAATAAAACACAATTGAATATCTACCCCGAAGAAATGTTCTGAAAATATAACTACAACGAAAAAAATGCCAGAAATGATCGTAGAAGGCGGAGGACGGAGGACCCCCTAATATAATACACCCGGGAACGCTGAGCACGAATTGCATTTGTGTTTGCTGAACGTATCCATATAGTGCTGAAAACCACGCTCAAGTGCTCTATTAGGGGAATTCGGGCCAAATAGGGAGAGCAGGCAAGCAAATAGGAAAGTGCCCGCCGTTAGGCTTTTCCGCGATATGGGGGGTACTTCCGCCCTCAAAGAAAGACACACGTTATAGATCCTACTGGAACCTCGGGATAAAGATCAAACTCAACAGACGGAGACTTGGGCAAATCGACTTAAAGGCCTCATGCCTAGCCTGGTGGACCCAAATCAAACTAGGCTGCAGTCATTGCTTATGCAAGAGAGAAGCTGCTCCCGACTCGAAATCTATAAAGGACTTTAAGTATCATAAGCTTTAAGTATCATAAGCGCCATCCGAAGGGATGAGACTTAAAAACCCCCACCTGAAGCCGGGACATCAATTGAAATCTTACTTTCTATCTCTAGTCGGGAGAAACGGACTCTCATGATTGGGTCGACCCGGCCAGATCATGACATTGGGGACCATTATGGGTGAGAGGTAGCTCAAACAAAGTGAGAGGAACGAAGTAGCTCGAACAAAGCAGGATTCAACTAAGCTGAGGACAGGTTGTACCTCCCATAACACTCTTTGCGCACCACAGGTTGGGTTTGAGCGAGAGCCGTGTGATGGGTGACTATCCAGCATGGTATGCCAGTGGAAGGCTTTCTGCGTTCAGTCAATCTACGTAGAGTGAATCGATCTAATGCTACCTCCAATTCCCTATAGGTTAAGAAGCCCTGTGAAAGCCAATAGGGAGCGGTCCATTAACGTTGCAACATTCTCTAAATGGAGCCAAGCACAAAAATCAAAACTGCTCAAAGTAGGCAGAGACAAAGAGAGGGCCTTTCTAGCCACTAAATGGGCTACCATATTGTGTTGTCTAGTATCTACCTACAAAGTGCACCGAGAATCCTGGATGATCACGAAGCATTGACTTGACCTCCTGCAAAATAGCCCCTTCAAGTACGTCGGTTACCACCCCTGCTCTGACTTTATCGATGATCCCTTTCGCATCACTCGCTAGACGTATCGATGGAAACTCTGCACCGGAACACCACCTGATAGATTCTATTTAAGCCAACAATTCCACCATTGCCAGATCATGTACCCCGAGGAGCCCTCACCTCACGCTCTAACTACGGACCCTGAAGCATCACATATAATCATCCCTATTGTTGACCGCTCACCCGCACGAACCGCCCAATCAAAATAGCATGTGACCGTGGTCGGGAACAACGACAACCCCGCAGCTTGTCTGGTCGGAGCATCTCCTTCATTTGTCGTGCCGGAGCTCGCTCCTAGTATCGCCAACCACTCCGTGACCTGGGGTTGGTATTGTGCCACCAGCACCGAAACTAGCACCTGCTTATCCTGAAACACAACCCAATTTTGTACCCTTCCAGATAGAGGTAGCAATTCGGTTATTTCAGTTATAATCGGTAACCAATCGACTGGTTATCGGTTAACCGAAATAATCATCCCCCTACCGAAAACCGAACGAAATAAGCTTTGGCTTCTCAGTTATCTCGGTTATCGGTTAACCGAACCACTTTTGAGACCAAAAACCATTTTGTCCAGCCTCCGATAACCGACCGAATTTCGATTATTTTGGTTACCGGTTAGTCGATAATCGACCGATTATCGATTTAACCGGCCGGTTAACCGGTAGCCGATAACCAAACTACCACCCCTACTTCCAGATGCGCCAAAGAAGAGCTACTATCCTAACAACTCTATGAGGACTCCCATCCGTCGCTAGGAATCGTCATAGAAAAATACCAATATTATGCAACGGGTGAAGAAGGATGGTTTGCTGTAGTCCCACAGCCTCCCACAAAGCAACCTCCATCGGACAGAAGAACATTAGATGCTCGATCGTCTCCTTCTTAGTATTGATTGCCAGTGTATGTTTCAATCTCTTATATATTTTAACTTTGGGAAAATGTTGTCGATGCAAATCGAACACACAACCTTAGAGTAAATGTCAAGTTTGGTCACTGGTTTTACTAATGTGTGTCATGTTTAGTCACTGGAAAAAAATAATATAAATTTTGATCACTCGAATTAGTAAAACGATCCACGTTTAGTCACTATCCGTTAACTTTATCTTATGTAACAATCAAAGCTAACAATTGATCGTTAAATATCTGACGTGGCAATTAAAAAAAAATATTTCCACATTATTAAAATAATAAACTAAAATAAATAACCCTCAGGCCTGATGTTGTTATTATCACCGCCATCAACCGAATTATTACCACTACTGTCTGATCTCCGGCGCACTCGGCCGTCGGGAAATTAGTCTAGGCGCGTTCCTTGCGTAACTCGATGGCCTTCCTGTTGTAGGCCCTGGCGGCTTCCTCCACCGTCTCGAACGTCCCGAGCCAGAGCCTGACGGCCTTCTCAGGGTTTCGAATCTCCGCCGCCCACTTCCCTCACGACCGATGTCGCACCCCTCTGTACCTGTTCTTCCTCGCCTTCTTCTTCGTGATCCCGTCGTTGCACGAAGGGAGGGAGGATGAAGAGGCGGCGGTCGCCGCCGCAACCGAAGGCGGAACGACGGCAGCGGCGGCGGAAGAAGAAGAGGAGGAGGAGAAGATGAGGGTTAGTTGTTCCGGGGTGAGACCGTCGGCACCTGAAATGATGTGCTTGAAGGCGGAGACGAGGATGGAGTCCTCTTCCTGCTTGGTGATGCGGCTGGGTGTTATAATCTCTGAACGCATCCATTGAAATTATTCCGGCGATCTAAGTGAAATTAGGGTTCCTCCATAGCTAATTAGCTAGCGCGGGGAAATGTGAAGATCGTCGCCTTCCGCCTTCTTTCCTCTTCTTCTCCGGCGGCCTGGTACTTCCGATTCTCCCCAATCACCACACATTTGTACTTCCTCAACAGGTACCGTCGCCGGGAGCGTCGCTCCCTGGGGTTCAGAAGCGGTATAAATGGAATGGTGGCGGTTGATGGCGGTAATAATAACAGCATCAAGGCTTGAGGTTATTTATTTAGTTATTTATTTTAATGATGTGGAAAAATTAAAAGAAATAAATTTATTTTTTATATTTTTAATTGTCACATCAGACATTTCAGTTTTAATGGTCAATTGTTAGGGTTGACTGCCATATCAGATAAAGTTAACGGAGAGTGACTAAACGTGGATCGTTTTACTAATTCGAGTGATCAAAATTGATATGACTTTTTTCCACTGACTAAACATGACATGTTTTAGTAAACTCAGTGACCAAACTTGGCATTTACCCCGCAACCTTACAAATTACAATAGCAAATGCGGCTAGGGGTGAACAAACACACCCGCAAACCGACCCACCCGTCCAACCTGACCAACTCACTCTTAATTATCGCTAAAATGAAGGTTTTGGGTTCGGTGAGGGTTTTCTTTTGTACAACCCGTCTCTTTTGGGCTGGGTTTGGATTACACAACCTGTAGAACCCGACCCAACCCGTGTTCCAACTATAAATATGAGTTCGTATCCAAAAAATATTTATGTCGTATATAGCCATACTTGTGAGAAAATTAAGATATTTCATCATGTTTTTCTCTCATGGTCTCCCTAATCTAATGCATTCTTGGACTTAAAGTTTAGACATAAATTTAATATACCTATGATTCACGTAATCTTTTTTCTTGTGTACAATTTTAATAGAATAACATATTATGGATGCGTTTGTTTATATCCTTTTTAGCCTATTTCGAAAAATATCGTGAAAAAACTAGACATATGTTGAATTAAATCACATTTTATTAAAATTCAAACAACATTTGTGAATTTTGATACCTTTCACCTCGATTTATTCGTTTGAAATTACATATTTTTATGGTGTAGAATAATTACATATTTTGTGTTGGGTTGGATTTTTACTTAAAATATTGCCAACCCGACCCAATCCAATTAGAAACAAACCGTAAGGTTAAATTTTTTTGGTGAATTTGTGTTTAATATTTCCTAAACCGTAATATATAAATTGGATGATTAAAATGGCTAAATCCGAACCACCATGTACACCCCTAAATGCGGCGATTCACTAACTAGACTAGCACTCGTTCGCATATCTAGGAATAATAAAAAAGGAAAAATAAGAAGAAAATTGATGTAAAATATCTCAATTATGATTGAGAGCGGATCCCAGGACTAGGGGGGTCCTTAGTCACTTGACTAAGCCCCTCCTAGCCATTAGATCTGGACACTTCAATCCAATGGTTAAAAAGTGGGAAGGACTATTTAATTAATGACAGGGGTAGTTTGGGTATTATGGAAAATTACGAAGTATACAAACCGGATTTACAATCAGTACAAACCATACAAACATACGAACAGTACAAACTAGAGCGACAAAACATACAAACATTACAAACGTATGAACTGTACAAACAATACAAACTAGACCGACAAACAATACAAACCATACAAAAAGAAAAAACAACCGGATTGACTTTAGAGGCTCCATCCCTATATAGAGGGGCTCCTTCCCAAAGTCAACCCGGGTGTTTTTTAGACATACAAACATGGTGGACAAAAATGACAAACTAGACCAAAAATTCATACAAACTGGAAAAAACACTCGGGTTGACTTTGGAGGCTTCATCACTATATAGAGGGCTCCGTCTCAAAGTCAACCCGGTTGTTTTTTATACATACAAACATTACGGACATCGTGGACAAAAATGACAAACTAGACCGACAATCCATACGAACTGGAAAAACACCCGGGTTGACTTTGGAGGCTCCATCCCTATATAGAGGAGTTCCATCCAAAAGTCAACCAGGTTGTTTTTTAGACATAAAAAATGATAAACATGGTGCACAAAAATAACAAAGTTTACAAACATTACAAAAAAAGCCGATAAACATTACAAAATAACAAAGCGTACAAACATTACAAAATAAACCAACAAACAGTACAAAGCATACTGATCGTACAAAATGTCACTAAAAATGACAAACAATACAAACCGAATCTATACAAATATTACAAAATAGGTCAGCAAACATCACAAATCCAATACTGTCGCCAAGAAATTCTCTCTCTCCCCCTCCCTCCCTCCCTCTCCAAGTTGGGGAAAAGGTTGGGGAAAAGTACCCCAGTATATTCCCAGGCGCCAAAGTATATTAATAGCCCAATAGCCCGCCAATTTGGGAAGCAACGACGGCAGGGAGGAATGAAAAGCAACAGCGGCAGGGAGGAACGAAAAATCACCCGACCGGAGCTGGGCAACAGCGGCAGGGAGGAACGAAAAATCACCCGACCGGAGCTGGGCAACAGCGGCAAAACGCCGGAAAATCCCAAGCCGCCAAGGGACAGCGACGATGTGCAGAAAATTCCGGACGGCGGGGAAGATACGTAGCAGCTTTATTTTTTTATTTCAATTTCCAAATAAATAAATTGTATAATTACTAGTATGCCCTTCGTTAAACTAGATAAATCTGAACCATTAGATTTTAATGAGGTTCAATGATTGAGATTGGCTTAGTGATGTGACTAAAGGACCCCTTAGTCACCTAACCTTAGGAGAATCTTAGCCCATTCTGATTCTCTAAGCTAAGGGAGAAAAGGCGAAAATCAGAAAGTGGGAAACAACTAATGCCCTGTTCACTTCCCATTTCATTTTCTGTTTTTTGTTTAAAAAATAAAAAACAAGAAACAAATGACAAAAAACGTGTTCACTTGTCCATCTCATTTTCGTTGGAAAAAACCAATTTTTACCAATGGGAAAGCTGTGGATAAACAATAAATAGTCGTTTTCTATTAGTAAGGAGTCGGGTTATTCCCCCGTTTCCCAGCGGAAATCGCACGCTAGCTTTTAATGAGAGCCCGCGTTCGAATCACCGCAGCCACATTTTTTCTTCTTTTTCCTCCGTGATCCTATACGGCGCCGTTTTTACCCAACTCTTTCACCCATAACCTAGAAGAACTCCTCGCCCAGCCGACATCTCCCTCTCCCTCCAACAGACCCGCCGGCCGCCACTTCCTTCTCCACCCAAACCACCACCAGCCCCATCGTCTTCCTCCGCCAGCCCCACGCCTTTCTTTTTCCTCCGTGATCCTATACGACGCCGTTTTTACCCAACTCTTTCACCCATAACCTAGAAGAACTCCTCGCCCAGCCGACATCTCCCTCTCCCTCCAACAGACCCGCCGGCCGCCACTTCCTTCTCCACCCAAACCACCACCAGCCCCATCGTCTTCCTCCGCCAGCCCCACGCCTCGCCAACCCCGCGTTCGAGCTTTCCCATTCTCGATTTCTCCTCCAGCAGAGAAGCTCCAGCCGCACATTTTCCTGGGTGGAGTCGCCAGCCCCGCGCCGCCATCATCTGCGAGACGGAATCTTCCCCGACGCGAGAAGCTCCAGCCGGCGGAAATGGCACCTGCAGGCGACTCATTCCAGTAGAAGCAGCACCGAAAAGGAGCTTTCCCCTTCTCGATTCATCCTCCAGCAGACACCCTCCAAGATTCTTATATCCATCATACTACAGGGGAAACTTTCTGGTCATCATTCGACAATTATACAGTGGGTGGGTGGCATTTCTCTACTAGTTAGTCATACTAGTGACGTGAGCCTTTCACATTTCTCTTTAATTTGCCAATTGTTGAAGTAACCTTGGACTTGTAACACAGACTGCAACACAAGGACTAAGATGTGGATACAGAACTCAGAACACAAAAGACAAGGAATGGATGAGGATTGGAAATGTAAAGTTGTGTTCTTCAATCCATCGATCATGTTGTATATGATAGAACGAAAGAGAATGCAAGTATATGAAGAACGGAGACAAGTTTAGTAAAAAAATTCTTGCCAATGATATCAAGATTTGTCTCAAATGAGTGATACTATCATACTATAGGTAGATCGTTGAATGGTTTACGATTCCATAGGAAAGCGATACTTTCAATGAGTTTGGTGAGATTTTTAACTTTCCATGACATGCTATGCTAGATTGCTAGGCCACATTACACATCAACCACACTCATGAAACTTCACCTTGCAAATCAAGCATTTGGCAACCTTTTTTCTTAATTGAAGCATCGAAGGTGGCTAGAGATATATAGCGGCTGATTGAGGTCAACGGTAGCCGGTAGCGATATATAGTACTTAATTAACATAAGATGTTTTACTTGTATTGTGTTTATTTGTAGTTTAAAATTATTTAATTCGAATTAAAAATTATAATCATTGTTGGGTTGTATGATAATCAAGAATCAGTAAACAGAATGAAGCAACTAAACAGGTTTTTATTTTCAGAACTCAGTTTCAGAACTCGCCAAAATTCTCAGCTAAACAAGGTTTTTTCAGGTTTTGTTTTTCAGAAAATGACAGCTTCGTTTTCATTTTCATTTTATTTTCTGTTGTGGCAGCTAACAGAAATGGAATGGCAAGTAAACGGCCCATAAACGTCACACAACTCGGCCCTCTCTGAGTTTCAGCAGCAGTCACTCACTCTTGCCGAGTGACATTTTTCACTTTTGCCTCCCACGGTGGTCCAAGCCCATTATTCCACCCCAACCGCAGCCACCCTCCGATCTTTCCACTTCTCCGATTCTCCTCTGCTCGTCGGTGATGGGAAGCCATCATAGAGAAGATCCACTTTCCTACCCAAACAACATCCATTCTTCCTCGTCCTCTCCGATCACAGTCTCCGACTACCTCGACCCCGCCGCCGCCTTCCTCTCTTCCGACCCATCCAACAATTCCCTCATCGGCAGCGCCTCCAGCAGTTTCCAGAACGACCCGGGTTTCCTAAACGACGCCGCCGCCGCCGCTGCCAATATCGACGCCGAATTCGGCTTCTCTCGGCCGGACTTCAGGCAGAGCCCGCTTGTCGGCACCGTGCAGTACTACGAGCGCCATGTCTTTTTGTGTTACAAGAACCCTTCTGTTTGGCCTCAGCGGATTGAGGCTGCCGAGTTTGATCGCCTGCCGAGATTGCTCTCTGCTGCCGTCACTGCAAGGAAAGCTGATATGAAGAAAGAGGTGTGTTGAAGGTTTTCTCTTTAGTTGAATGGAAATTGAGTTTTTGGTAGCGTAGTTTTGGGGTTTGATCTTTCGTGAAAGAAATGTGATTTGGTGTCCAGTTGAACTCATTCCTGACGTCTGGGTCTTCTGTTGAGTTGTTGTAGTTTGTGTACCGACTTGGAGTAAGACTTTCACTGTAGTGTCGAGGAGTGTGATTGAATGTGTTGGATAGGGACCTGCTCAGTGTCATTTAGGTGGTGACAGCCTGACAGGGTCCATGACTGAGTTTTCATCTTCTTTATCATAAAGGTTAGGCATTGCAAGGAACCCTTCATGTATTTATTTTCTATTTGCTGCTTTTATTCTCAAACTCCTTAGTTATGTTTTGTTAACAACTTGCTGACAGGGTTGAGTGGTTTCTTCGCCCTGATAGAGGGTCATTGTTACATTCACTTGTTCCAATTATGGCGCTTGCCTCTATATCTCTACATTGGTGTGGTTCCAAGTGAGCAATTTCACACAACATGACTGATTTTCAGATGATTTATGACATACAATCTGATGTTGATGTTTCTCATTCACTTTCCAGTTACTGGGGAATCGCATGTGAGCATCTTGTATAAAAATCTGCAGTTTTGCTTTGTTGCTACTCAGTGCTAGTTGCAAGTATAGTTGGTCATGTGCTGTGTCTGTAAAGATTGGAATGGTCTAGTTGCTCTTGTTGTCTTGATTTAGTAGAATTAGATGGCCGGAAATGAGCCTGAGTGCCACCTATTTCAGTCTTCTGCAAGTGCAGTTTGTAAATAGCCCCCATCAACTCAACGCCTGGCTCATGAATAATAATATCTGAATCTCTTTTGTTTCACCAATTTTTGCTGTTGTCATTCCAGACCCGTCTAACAATATGTGAGGGACATGATGGAACAGAAACCTCAAATGGGGATGTGTTAATCTTTCCTGACATGGTCAGATACAGGTCAATCAGTTTGACTCTTTCCATATAGTTCCTGTTCTTTGATGCTCTCTTTCCTCCTAGTAAATACTGATTTTACCAAGTGAATGATGATGCAGGAGGTTAACACATTTTGACGTCGACACATTTGTGGAGGAAGTGCTGGTCAAAGATGGTGAATGGATGCCCGGAACTCCAGAAAAGCTTCATGGTTGCTATGTGTTTGTATGCTCTCATGCCTCCAGAGATCGCCGTTGTGGCGTTTGTGGTCCGGCCATAATTGGAAGATTTAAAGAAGAGATAGAAGTTCGTGGTCTGCAAGCTAGAGTCTCTGTTAGTGCGTGCTCACACATTGGGGGCCATAAATATGCTGGAAACATCATCATTTTCGGATCAAGTGTTAGTGGAGGCATCACTGGACACTGGTAATTATGAGATCCAAATACATTTTTTATATACGTGCGAATTTTGTTTTCTCTTATTTTTCTCCTCTGAAAGATTTTGGGAATTCCTTACAGGTATGGATATGTTACTCCAGATGATGTGCCCATATTTCTCGAACAACACATTGGCAGAGGAGAGATTGTCGATTGGCTGTGGAGGTATTCTTTTGTTTCTTGCCAATAGTTTTGAACAAATAAAAAGTTCCATACTTAATTCAAAGCAAGTTCAGTCATTATAATTGTGAAGTGAGACATAATTGTATAAACAAGAAACATTGGCACAGTATCTAAGTCGATCAATGAGGAGGTGCTATGAGTCACGTCCTGATGATTGAAATATGCCTATAATGTCATTAATGTTATTTCTATGTCGAACTGCTCGATAATGCCATACGTTAATGCTGGATTCAGGGGCCAGATGGGTTTGCCAGTAGAGGATCAGATTAAGTGGCAAGAACAACGGCTGCAACTGAATGGGAATAATTTGGTGGATAGCAATGAAGTGACACTAAGAAAAACAGATGTTGAAGCAAGTGTTGCAGCAGGCACTGTTTCTGGACCCGACGCCACTGGAGGTCGCTGCCAGGAAAATGGGAACTCTGCTTCTTGCAGTCAAAAGCCTGTCTCAACAGAAAACAACAAGCCGAAAGAAGGGAAGCTATCTCTATTGGAGGAGAAAAAGAGCAACAAGAAGTTGATCTCCCGTCGTAATAGTGGGAAGAAGTCCCTAGTGCATAGAGTTTGTGGAAAGCCAACATGGCTAGAGAGCTGGGAGCTTGAAGATACATATGCAGCTGCTGCTGTGGTTTGTGCCGTCGCGTCAGTTGCCGTTGCATACAAATGCTACAAACAGCTGAGTTAAATCATTCCAATTCCTTTCCTTTTGTTATTGTGCGTGTTTTTCTTTTTTTGTTGTAACTAATCTTCATAAGCAAAACTCGTGAGTTCAAAGAATCTGTAAATTAATCCTTTCCTACCGTTTGTTCTGGGTTTACAAAGTGAAGCTTTCTCTACTTATTCATTCATCTCTACTAAAGACTTCATAATGCCAAATAGCTCTCTCAACATGTTGGATGTATACAGCCTGCACTCAACCATCAGAAGAGTTCCAAAAGCAATTGATAAGATGGCTGGGTGTCAGAGTCTTTATGGAAATGAGGGGGTTTGAGAAATGACTGAAAAAAATCAAGGAAATTTGTCTTTAATCCCATTTTAAGTTCAAGAACCAAAATGTGGCTAAGAAGGATTAATTAAAGCTCTTCTGATGAACATACAAACAACCACAAGTTGCAATTTTTTATAGTGGCTCCAAGACAATGTGCAAAATGAGTAAAGCTCTTATGAAGCAAGTAATTCCTTATAAAATAATATAGAGGGAGGTCACAAGAAGATCATTCCACCCTAAGATGTTTCTCGTCTTAGCCCCTCAACTGACTCTGCAAGATGTGCATCGAGCTGATGCAACAAATTGAAAGGCTACACACTCAATAACCTTAGTACAAAGTCGACAACTTTCACCATCTTTCTCGAGTTTTGCTGAGGCCTGGATCTCTCTGCCTCTCTCTAGTCCACTTAATATTGGTGAGAAATCAGTAAATAAATTAAATATCCCTATATGTTCATTCATTCCTTGTTTCAGCTCTTTTCACATGCCATTCACCTGGAGTCTGCTGAACGAGTTGTTGAAACCATTGGAATCACCTAGCTTGTGGAGCTCGGACTCTATCCTCGTCGCGATCATGGCACCTTCGGGGTCAGGCGCAGGGAAATTCACATGGACCGAGCCTTGTTTGAGAAGTCGTGAATAGGATTCCTCCTGCTCAGCTTGTTGCTTAACATAGTTGTAGAGCTGCTGGTGGAAGGCATGATCTAACGAGTAGCAGTTTGTGGTGGTGGTGGTTCCATTTGCAGCAGCAACAACACGAGAAGAACCAGAACCCCTTTGTTTACAGAAGTGAGGGAGAGAGTTAACATCCATTATCTGCATTCAAAAATAAAGAAAAGTTAAGTTCCAATGGAAGCGGTGAAAAAAGTATTTTTGACCGATCCTGAACAGACAGATTGCCTTCCTTGCCTTCAACAATTCTTCCTTCCCAGAACCTTGTAGCACCTGAATCTTTTTCTTTGTCCTCTCTTGTAATAAAGGCTTCACAACCTGCCAACGAATGTATAGAGGTTGGTGAACACCATTATATATGGGTTTATAATAGATACTAGAAATGCTGTGAAAATAAAGAGAGATAGATGAGAACCTTCCAACAGGCAGAAAATATGTATGGGACATTGACAACGTAATATGTGTCTGTCTTCTCTGGATAGTTTAAGGCATCAATTGTAGATATTGCAGTTAATAACTGCATTCAGAGATCAACAGACAAGGGAGATTTATAAATGCCTATAGAATGGAAGAGATGCAAATCAAACATTGGAAGATTGAATGTACCTTTATCTGATTTAGTGCCGAAAGCTTTAGACCAGTCATATCCAAAACCTTAATACATGTGCCAATGCGCCTTCCCCATTTCTTGGTTGCGTTAGGCTACAATAGACAACTTGTAATGCTTCATCACACGAAAAGCAAATGAGTAATGAAATCTAAATGGCCAAAATTTCGACTCACCAATACTACACGATCCCGGTATTCATTCATTTGGATGTGGGACTGCACATAGTAATGTACCTGAAAAGCAACAAAAGATAATAACCTGAATATGAGGGGTAGAATACATAAATTGCTATTACTATTACAATTTACAACACGGCCATGGTTTTGCAGCACACTTTCAAGTCAGGAGAAACAGATTCCTCATTTATCTCAGCAACCAGCATAGTTTTTCAACCTCAAAGCCACATTGGATGTATGCAAATGCAACCAACGGAATATACTAATGGTGTAAGAATCTTACAGAAGCTTTGTCATAGGTGCTCTGCCCCACACCAACAGCAATAACCGGGAGACCCTTCAAGGTAATACATAAGGAACAGTCGGTTGATCTATTTTCTTAAGGAACAATAAGCCAATTATGCTACAAGTACATAGATAGATTTATTTATTATAAAATCAGACCATACCTCCTTCGAATAACCTGACAATCCTACAAGCTGAGTGTCCCGAACTGATCTATACAATTCTGTAGGAACAATTGGTTTCTGAATACAAAATAATGAACTGGTCAACAATAAGAAAGAAACTCAGCAAGAACATATGACATGTTCTCCCAAGCAAACGTATCTAGGTATGCAAAACACATTCTGCATATATGGAAGATAACTAGAAGGAAGGAAATGCTAAGAAAGTAGGTCGGTCCAACTCTAGTAATCAAGACAAAGATCTAACCGCCAAAATGTTGTCAATCTCATTCTGTACCCTCCACTGCAAACAATCAACCAACTGCAGCAATGGACAAGAAGAACAAATAGAAAACCATATGAGCACTAGAAGGATATAAATATAAAAGAAAGAGAGAACATTGACAAGATGGAATAATAATAAAATCAACCTAACCATTTTATGAGCCTTGGCAACATTCCATTCTCGCGCTTTAAGAAATCTTGTCAAAGTTTCAGTTAGAAATCCCTGGTGCACATTCTGCAGACAACCGATAAATCATTCATTCAGAAATGCCTTGTGGTTCACAAGAATGAATCCCATTCAAACAATTATGTTCTGACTCTAACATTAAATGTAAAGAAAACACTCAGCAAATTCAAAGAGCCATACAACTACACAGCTGAATTCATTCCCAGGTATACTACAACTCACATATAAGAGAAGAGAATCCTTGGAGAAACCTAGCTTACACCAGCCAACCAAACTAGTTCTATCATTGATCATAGCCGGAACTGAGACTCTCAGCAAATAATTGTCTTTTTTACCAAGTCACTTATCCAGAAATAGTGAAACAGCTCCATAGATTATAATCAAGTTCCCTTCTTGCTTATGCTATTATTGTCTCATATTTTTTTTGGTGACATATTATTGTCTCATATAGTATCCAATCAGATAAAGTACTCAAAAGTTAAAATAACCGGTATATGTCTCATTATCAGCAAAAAATACAAAATTTGCGTCTAAGAATACCTAAATCCACCAGCTCTCAGCAACTGATATACCAAATCAAACTTCCCTACAGTAACTGTCAACAAAGAACTTACTACAAACAATTCTGTTCCAAGCAAAAGAAACTGAAACCACAGAAAGTATAATTGCCAAGGCCACCTCGTTGAAACAAGGCTACAAATATAATCATATGCCAAACAATTAAATGATAACAAACCAAACCCAGATCAAGTTCTTCTCTGAAACAAATTCTAGAGCTGCAAAGGCAGATGCTTTCTGTCGGTTCAATACAGTTTTCATTAGCTGAAAAGGACAACTTTGTTCCAAAACTAAGTTTGATCAGCTTTCAGCCTCATCTTCTCCGACTTTTCTTCTCCATGAGTCTCTTGATTGTAAACAGAGGGGGAAAAGAAGAGGAGACCGAAGGGAAGAAGAGAAAGGAGACTAACCTTGAAACTATTCTTCAGCGGCTCATCCACTGTTGGTAAGATCAAGAAAAGCAAATAAAAATAAACAAATTGCCATCAGCAGAAGCAGACAATCAAAACTCGAAATATACCCAGAAAGCCACAAGTCAAGAGAGAAAAGCTAAATGGGTTTTGATGCGGAGCTGACCTTTGTCCATCAGAGACTGAAACTGCTTGATCGCTTCTTGATTAGCCATACCCATTATATTTTTCTGTATTATGCTGCTCTTCCCCTACACAAAACTGATCAAAAGCTCCGAACTTTATTGTGTAAACAAACACACTTGTATATCACAGAGACAGAGCTTCTTGGCTTGTTCGAAACTGCTTTCTCTCTTTTGTCTGTAGCTGACCCTTTTGAAGAACAGCTGCAAATCTAAAGGGGAAAGTCGGTCTGACAAATGAAAAAACTGCATTCAACGGACGGGGCGAGGGAGAGAATCTAGGTTCATTAGTATCGTTGTTTCTGAGATGAACCAAACATTTGAATGCGCTTCTAAAATAGAGGGGATCGAATATTCGCACGAAAACAAAAGGTTAATCATGAAAAAGATTGGCCCATGATTGATCCTCCAAATCAGGTAATAAAAACGCCATGAATGGAGATTCCCGTATAGTATTAGGTTTATTATCTTTCTGAAATCTAGCATATTAATATCACAACACAATTCACAATGATTTTGCATATTATTATATGATAAAAAAAAAGGAACTTAAGATTTATTATCTTCTCCATGGGGTGAAGGATGCTTGTCCTTACCTGGATTTTCTGTATAAGGAGTGAAGAGATTTCGTGAGTCTTGACTAATTTTTTCTTCTTTTCAAAAGTCGAAATCAATGAATGCAAGAACAAATTGTTAGAACATATAATTTTAGATTGTTTTACCTGATATATGATTTATCCTCTCTTATCCATTAATTTTGTATTGTCTTTATAATTTCTCCAATTGAATTCAACTTCTTTTTTTCACTTAAAATGTGTGAACTACACCTTTTGATAAAAAAATTTACTTTAACTATCTATAAATCATCCACTTTTATGTAATTTTTTTAGCAAACTTTCTCGGGTTTCCATCCATTTTCTGTAAATATTTTTTTTTTTTGTACATTCTCCATACCTGCACTTAATTCATAGTTTCATACAGAAATCTCGGTAAATTGACCCCAAAAAATATGGGTGCACAGATGCACAATGATGGGAATATTTTGATTTTTAATTGAGCACTGTATATATAAATACTCTAGTCACGAACAATGATCATATTTCTTAATTTCTACCTCATTCTTTCATCTTGTCCGAGAATTGAATCTGTCGACGTTGACTGTGACGATTACAGCCAGGTGGTATGACAAACATTGTCATGAGGACCACGAATTGACTTCTGTCTTCTTAGCCGTGTCTCGTCTGCTCACGTTTGAGAGAGAGCCGACTTTGTCCCGTCCAATTCTTGCCGCCCAACTCAAATCCCGTTAAAGAAAAGACAAGTTTATTGACCAAATGATCCGCTGTAAACCCCTCTTCTGGCATGTTTAATCCACTTTGTCGTATACAATGGGCGAGGGAATCTACTTAAATGGTGACAAAATGGACATCAAAGAAGAATTAAGCAGGAAAACTTTCCTGCCATAACAAACGAGACTGCATTACTCCAACAACGAATGAGCTGTTTGGCAAACAAAACAAAATTTTACAGTGGTTGTAACAACCCCCCAAGAGCAAAATGGTGAATTCAGGACACAGGCACTCCACAGAAGGGAGGGGGTGTCCATAAGTGACTTGAAAAGCTTAAGCTGAATATTTTGCTACATAAGAAAGCAAGAGGACCAACAAACTCTTGCACAAGGAGAGTCTCATCATCCCCTCCAAACAAACATGCTGATGGAAACCACATAACTTAACGACATGGCATATGATCCTATTAGAGTATTCTGTTCTGAGCATTCCTCCATCCAACGTATATAGGCTTTCTTGCTTCTGTTATCGGTGGCCTCCTCTACTTGCTCCCTCCTGCTTTTCTTTTTGTTCCCCTCAATGCTTGTCTCTTCTCCTCCCTGCAGATTGTTTCAATATACATACATTAGGTAGAACAGGCATGGAACTTCAAATGGGTGAAAAGACAACCAGAGATATATCACCATTCTGATTAGTAGCTACCTGGCTTTTATGATTTCCGCTTTGCGTGGGACTTCCTTTCTGAATGGGAACTTCCTCTCCTTGCGTTTATCAGCTGCTGGTTCGGATACTCCATTCCCATTTTTGTGTGCTTGTTTTTTCAAACCTGCATTGTTTTTCTTGTTACTGTCTTCCTTGGAAGGCCCCACTCTTTCGCCCACAACATCCTTCTCACCCGACACTGGAGCTTCCTCTACAGACTCAACGGCGTCTTTCTCACCGGACACTGGAGCTTGCTCTATAGACTCCGCAGCTTCAGCAGCCGCGACAGTTGGTAATGCATTGCTTACTTTCTTCAGCTGGAAAAGGGTACAAAAGTAACGTGCTGGTGAGGGAAGTCGTATTCTTTAAGACCAAATGAGCAAAAATGGGCTGGCTATATGGCAATATGAATATGAAAATCCCACACCTTTGCCACAAAAAACCCATCCATGTTGTTTACATGGGGATAGAACCGTCTAGT